TTTTTTTTTCTTTTGCGCACAAAAAGTATTCTCGTAGCTTCGTAATATTACAGTTGAAACCCTGATGTCACATGAATTATTTTACCGATCTCCTTGCTACGTTTCTTGACGTTGATCTTGGTAGTACCCTTGCTGTCTATGGGAGGGTCAGAGAGCTATCAGAATGCATCAAAAATATCTTAATTTGTGTTCTGAAGATGAACAGAGGTCTTACGGGTTTGGAATGACATGAGGGTGAGTAATTAATGACAGCATTTTCATTTTGGGGTGAACTAACCCTTTAAACTTTCACTTTGGTTTCTGCTGAAGAAAATGCTGGAGAATGAAAAGATTGATACTCTTCCCCCCCCCCCGTGCCGTACTCGGCCTGATTCAACAACTGCCTAACCATTTCTCTAGCTCTGAAATGTTCTTCAAGGAACGGTTTCAGAGTTGAGGCTGTCGTCTCCTCAGCTTATCAGAAAATCCGCACACCAGAGATGTGAGAAGCTCACTTCCTCACTGTCTCTGTCTCTCAACACGGAAACTACCGAGGGTCTGTTTTACCAATTATCTCTGGACAAGCTCAGAGTCTGGCATGGAGTCCGTGTGTGCACAAGGTGGATAACTATCTTGTGCCATCTGGATTGTATTGCTCACCCTCCTGCGGTTCTGCTGGTCATAATCAAAGCGGGGCGGCGGATCCAGCTCTCGCTGTTCTGTTGTATTTCTGTATGCTGCAGTTAGACAGATTGTGTTTGTAATAGAGGCCCGGGCCTGGATGAAGAAGTCATCAAATCTCAGTCCCTCTGATGGAGGAAACCGTGAACACAGAGCTCCCCTGAACGAGGGTTTATCACTTGCAGATTACGGTCAAAAGACATTTGCAAAGCATTTTGTCAAGACGCATGGAGGAAGATGGAAAACAGCTGTGAGGAGCCCCTTGAGCAACAGTGCAGAGACAAACACAATTTTTCCTAAAACCAAATAAATAATGACTGAGCTTTAAGGTCCTAGGTTTATGAAAGGCTCAATGACAATAGATGTCTGATTTGGCACAAATTTGATAGCTTAAAATGCATACAAGGTCTCAGAAATCTACTATTTTGTATTCATATACAACACAATACATTATCAATAAACAATTTTATTTGATTACTTTAAAAATGTAAAGTGGTACAACCATGTCTTCCCCTTCTAAAGGACAAGATCATTTTTCCGGGCTGATGCTGTGGACAACAATATTGTTATTAAGTGATCTGCCTGCTTAAATAAAGGTAAAACAAATAAAATAAATAAATAAATAATCTTTGTATACACCTTGAATATACTTGAGTGCACAAACCTTTTAAACTTTTTTCCTTTTTTGTTGTTGTTGTTGTTGTTGTTAATTTGAAAAACCCTGAACTAACCATTTTTTAAAACCAAGAATTTGTCTTTTACTTTTTTCATCTGGATATCATCTGGACATCATCTGGATAATTACACCACATAGACATTTTTACTTAAAAAATAAATAAATAAATAAAAATAAATAAAATAAAAATGAATTTTAGTTCAAAAATGAAAACTTCATCACAGGTGTATTCATTCATTTTCTGTATTGTTAATGTTTAACAGCTGTTTTAATAATTGTATGTTTTATGTATTTAATTTTTTAATAACATATTACACATTCTTTCTCGATAAATGTCTTTTTTAAAATCTTAAATCATAAATATTCTATTTAATTTTGAAAATTTTAAGCTAAAAAAATACTGAAAAATAAACATTTTATAATGTATGTACAATGTACAAATAATAATTAATATTGTTAATATATAATATAATTCATATTAATTGTACAATGTACAATGAATAATGTAGCCATTCTTTTATTGAAATACACTATTTTGACTACTGTTTGGCAATTCTGTGAGCATATTATACAGAGAAGGACTGAAATGAAAAGACTTGTGTTCCCTAAAGTTAACGCTGGGCAGAACTGCAGGACTGTGCTGCTTTGGCACCCGCGGGAGAACGTAAAACAAACTGTTTTCTTTTTTGTGTGTACAACAAAACTGAGGTCATATTTTGTTTGGGACTGTTTAACTTCTTAGCAAAAGAAGTTTCTTTTTCAGAAGTAGATGAGCTTTGGGAGGAAATTTAGTTTTCTTGCCTTTGCAGAATATCCCGTCTCCCTCCAGGCCCCGAGGGCAGGGGCCACACCTGAAGGAGCCAAAACCATTCACACACCTGACACCAGGAAAACACGGCCATCTCTTACACTCATTCACATCGTCCTGACACGTGGCACCTGTGAACAGAAAACAAATAAGCATTATTATTATTAAATGTGTGTGTGTATAAATGTTTTTCACATTACATTGTTATGCCAGTAGGTGGCGAAAAGTAACTTGATGAGTGATTCAATCATTCATTCGTCCAAAACACTTATTTCTTCATGAATGAAACAAAACACTTTTTTTTATTTTAAAGTGTAGTCACATTTGCGAAATTGACCCCACTGCGAAATTTGCATGTGGAATATCTCTAGAATCTCTAGGATTTCTATAGAAATGAATGGATTTCACGCCTGTTACCACACCTTTAATGTGGTAATCAATGAATCATTCCCTCAAACGATTCGTTCAAAACACTGATTCTTTCAAAAACAACTCAAGTTACGGTCTTAAAAGTAATTGAATCATTCACTCAAACAATTCACTCAAAACACTGATTCTTTCAGAAACAAATCAAGTGACTGTCTTATGAGTTCACATGGATTTCTATAGAAATGAATGGATTTAACGTGCGAAAACAGTAAATGTGACCGCACATTTAATGCGGTAATCAATGAATAATTCCCTCAAACAATTCATTCAAAACACAGATTCTTTCAGAAACGAATCAAGTTACGGTCTTATAAGTAACGGAAACATTCACTCAAACGATTCACTCGAAACACTGATTCTTTTAGAAACAAATCAAGCTACAGTCTTATAAGTATTTGAATCACTCACTCAGATGATTCACTCAAACAAAACGATTCGCTCAGGAACAAAATGCCACTACTGTGTGCTGCTCAGAGACGCGTGACAGTTTCTACTCGAACTTTAGAACTATTTTCATTGGCGGGAGCAAACATACACAATGTAACTGAAAATAAAATGTAAGTTATTCAATATTAACTCATGTGTTGAACCTGCTATAATTCATTGTCATTAAATTGTGATAGTGACTGCACAGCAATTACCAGCTACCACCAGAATCATAGCAGCAAGTGTGCATCAATAGCTTACCTCAGAAAGTGTGACTAGTAAATGGTTGGCCATCATCTTGATATAGTCTGCATATAGGTACGTTTATGGCTATTATTGTCACTGTCAGTGAAAAACAATAGCATTTCGAGCCAATACTATGCTTCAAACCTCCGGAAGAAAAAAACAAAAAAAACTTTTTATTTCATTTTGATCTAATAACTCTTATTCAAAGTCAAACTCTGTGTTCAAACACACTTCTCAGATGCAGAACTTTGAGGCGGCAGCACATTTGAAACTCAAATACTCAGGAAAACTCTAAAATTGTGGTGAAGCATTGTTTATAGAGGGAGATAATAATTTCCTCCACTTCTTTCCTCTGCTAAAACATCAAGTGGCCATACCAAACACTGCTTTCAGCAAAGATAAAACATTTCTGGGCCGATTCATCTCTGTGTTTTGCCCTGTTTATTACTCCCAGCAGCAGAATAGCGTACAGATACTCTTTCCTCTGTGGGATCAGTAGCTGCTGGGCATTTGTCCATTTTTCTTTTTTTTTTTTGTATTTGTGTTGTTTGTGGCTTCTCTTAGAAATGTGTTTGAAGGGGATCTTTAATAATGTCCAAACCATCTGCAAAGACCCAAAGCGTTACGAGCCACAGCAAAACATAAACTTTTATCCAATCAGCAGTGTTGGTTTATCTCACGCATGCATCGCCATTAGTGGAAATGGACAAACTCTTCTAACCCGGTTCAATCAAGTATTAAAAAACATCCAAGGTAAAAGGCTTCAGTCCTGACAGGAAAGCTTCGCATTTCAACTTCAAGCAACAACAGGCATTGCATTCAGTTAGGAGAGACTAATTCGCACATCGCCGGAGAAGAGATTTCAACTAGCGATCTCAGAATAGACACTGTGTGAAAACATCAGCAGTTCAGCTTTTGACTGAAATTCCCAGCAGAAGCGTTTGTTGCTTTTTGAGTTTTTTGTTTTCACCCACATACACTGGCCTGCTTTCAAGCTCGGAGAAACTAAATGAGCTGATCTTCTCGAGAATGGGTATTTGGCAAAAGACGACTTTGTAATTGGATCAAGAATGAAACTGAGCCAAGAGTTTGTGCTTATTTAGATGACCTGCTCCGTAATCAATAAGAAAAAATGCACACACACACATACACACACACAAATAAATACAAAACATTGATCCAAGGATGAAGTACCAGAGCAATAATGTGAGAAAAAGACTAAAACCTTAGTCATAACTCTTAATTGTTCCATGTGGATTTATATTAATGTCAGTATTAACGCATTAACATATATAAACCTATACTCCAATTGTAAGGCATTTTTAAGGCTTTACTTGTTTACGAAGATCTTTTTTGATGTGAAGAGAAGGTACAAATTAAATTAATTACATATATTAAAATATATACTCCACAACCCTGTAAATGATAAGATATGAATATTAAATGAAATGTAATAAAAATAATTCTAATAATAAAAAATTATACACACACATTAAAATGTTTTTAAGGCTTTACTTATTTATGAGGACCTTTTTTAATGTGAAGAGAAAGTAAAAAGTAATTTAATTATTAATTAG